CTGCCAAGCGCCAGAGCTTGTTTTCCAGAGTCCAGCAGATAAAGCAGTCTCAGTGTTATAAGGCCGAGAGAAGTCCCAAACAGTTTCATTAAATCCTGTTACTAGGTACAAAGTGACATTCTCTTGATGACAACGATGCCACCATACTGAATCTTTTTGTACATGTCTCTTCGAGTGACAAAGTTCAAACGGAATTGTATCATTGTTGCTTACAGCTTCGCCATCAGGAGCCCCAAGCATAACAGCTCCTCCTTTCTTATGCTAAGGCTGCTCCGTGATATTCAAACACCCAGGTTGGGAAGTAGAATTGAATAGAAAACAAATAGGTAGTCCTATTGCTGATTGCTGTTCCATGGCTAATGGCAATCCTAAAAGTTTAGAGTTATTAGAAAAAACCTGGATCTGTGGCCCAGACCAAACAGTTGGATGTAGTACCGGAGGATCTGGGATGTAAGCCCAATGCACTGCAGCATAAGCTGTTGGATTAATCAGTATTCCCATCAGAAGAATAATCTCGATGTTCATTTTCGGCATGCTGCACTAGTCGTTCAGGCAACCAGCGTGCTCCGTCAGCTCCCTGCGGAAAAACACAAACATGCCCTCGCCCCCATATTAGTACAGGATCTGTTAATACTTGCTTAATAGATTTTCCTTGCAGTGCTGCAGCAATGGCTATTCCTTGGGTATAAGAGGGCCCAATGTCCGAGCAAAGTCGGATGTAATCTTTAAGATCCCCTTTCCTTTTAAAAGGTCTAATTGCGGCCTGACAAGCAGAATTAGCATTCTCATATGCTAATATTTTTACTAGAATAGTTTCGGCCTCGGGATCACTGATAAGCCGACCTGCTGCATTCAACAATCTATCAACAAAATCTTGAAAAGGCTCATCAGGTCCTTGCCTAATCTTAGATAATTCTTCAGTCTTTCTGTTACTACAAGGTAGGGATTTCCAAGCTTCTTTAGCTGCAGTATTGATCTGGGCATAAGCGCCAGCAGGATAAGTTAATTGGTTTACATTTTCTTTATATGGACCTTCACCAGCAAGCATATCGTAAGTAATTCCGTTATTGGCTCCCTTGTTTAATTTAGCAGTCCTTTCACAATGCTCTCTAAAAGAAGTATCCCATAATAAAAAATCCCCACCGGGTAAGCAAGCTCTTGCCACAATTCTCCAATCCCAAGGCGTCAGGGCAGAAGCCGTAAGTCCTTCCACCTGAGCCAAGGTAAACGGAGCGGTAGCTCCATATTGAGCACAAGCTGTTTTCAATTCTTTTAATACCTTAAAAGGTAAAGGCTCATGTCCCCTGGTGCTTTGCCCTTGTTGATCATGCTGATCTATTACTGGAAAAGCCATTTTAAAATCTCCGATATTGTCTCCATTAGCTGCAGCTATTCTAAGCCCCTTCTGTAAGCCAGTCTCAGAATAAGGGACCTTAAGTGCAGGTATAAGTTGTCCTTCAGAATTTAAGCCCTTAAATTTCACTGGAGGAGGGTCCACACCAGCTATAACTGTGGGATGTAGAGGATGCGAAAAATCCTCTGGAGTCAGATTTTTACTCTGAGTGTCCATAGGAGGTAGTTGCAGCAGTTTATCGCCTCCCTGTTTCCTGTTTATTTGCACAGTAAGTTGCTTAAGTTGGCGCTCAAGCTGATCTATTTCTCTACGAATGTTATCTGGTACTGCGGGTTGGGCAACGCCTCCAATAGCTACAAGTGGAGCTGAATTTTCATCAGGCGAATAATATCTAGCGGCCTCCTCCCCATCATCAGTAAAAATGGAGTCGAAAGGAGGGGGAGGCATCAGAGGAGCAGAAGGCACAACCCGAGCAGCCTCAGATTCGTCATACTCATGAACACTTTCTGTTTTAAGTACAGGTGACATTTGTTCTTTAATCTGATCTCTTTCATGCCTAGGGTCTAAAGAATCTCTAATCAAAGTCCAAAGCCCAAAAGTATCTGCCGGAACCTTAGTAGGTCCGTGGTCATCATAGTAATCCTGTAACTTTTTACCCACTCTTAACCATGTCTCTAAATCAATTGTCCCTCAGGAAACCAGGGACAAACTTCTTCTAAATTGCAAAAACTTCATTAACTCTTGCTGTCCTACTTTAGTTCCTCTAACTCTAAGCATATTCTTAAGCGTATGTACAAATAGCAGTCGACTATTTCCTTGGCCCATTATATTTTCTCTTTCAGTTTCTATATTTACAAAAACTCCTGCGTACTCACCTTCACCGCCCACGGCTTCTTTGGCCCATCTCGAGTGCACTCGTCTCGCGGTGGGTCCTTGCTATTTTCCCCCGTTTTCAGGTCCCACGTTGGGCGGCACTTGTCGG